GCAAGAAGATGTTCGAATTATGGAATGTTTTCGGAAAAATCAAAAAATATTTTTAATATACAGCTGCTGGATTTTCTGTCTTATTTAAATAATTTAATTTTGCCCACAGATGACTGATGCCATGTCCGAATCTAAAAAGAAATGTAGACAGTACAGTGTTGATTATTTGAAATTTGGCTTCATTCCATCATTGCCGGACAAACAATCGCCTATGTGCCTTTTATGCAACAAAGTTTTGGGCAATGACGCTATGAAACCATCTAAACTGCAAGATCATCTGAGAAGATGCCACCCTGATAAAACAGAGAAGATTTGAAATACTTTCAAACACTCAAAGATAAATTTCAGAAGAGACCTACACTGGACAGAATGTTCGCTTCGACGTCACAAAGAAATGATGATGGTTTGCGGGCGTCTTACAATATCTCGTTACTTATAGCAAAATCCGGAAAACCGCATACTATCGGAGAGAAGTTAATTTTGCCAGCCGTTGAAGAGGTTTTAAAAACTGTTTTACACAAACCTGCATCTGATATCATTAAAAGAATTCCCTTAAGCAACAATACTGTTGAAAGACGTATTGATGAAATGAGTTCTGATATTGAAAGCTTCTTATGTAATTATTTGCAAACGACCCATTTCTCTATACAACTGGACGAGTCAACTTTACCTGATAATGCAGCATTAATTGGCATATGTTCGTTTTATTATGAATCAAGAAATCTACGAAGAACTGCTCTTCGCAAGAACTTTGATAACCGACACTAAAGGTGAATCAATATTTCATGTTTTGAAGGATTACTTCATTGAAAAAGCAATTCCTTTATCAAATATAATATCAGTAGCTACAGATGGAGCACCTGCCATGGTTGGACGTTATCGTGGATTTATAAGCTATTTAAAACAAAATGTGTCAGGGGTGTTAGCAATACATTGCGTCATCCATCGACAACATTTAGTTGCTAAAAATTTGAGTGTTAGATTGCATGAATCACTTCATTTAGTCATTGATGCAGTAAACCGAATCCGAAGCAACGCGTTGAATACGCGGTTATTTGCGCAGTTGTGTGAAGAAAATGACGAACACTTTCATCAATTACTCCTTCACACTGAAGTACGCTGGCTGTCGAAAGGCTTATGTTTGACAAGATTTTTTGCACTTTTTGAGACTATTTTAGAATTTCTGGATACTAAAGATAAAATTTTAAAAGAAAATTTAATGAAGAGGAAAACAGATTTGTTTACAAAATTTAATATGGTTAATTTGCAATTACAAACAGGCGACAGTTTAAATTTGATTAAAACAAAGTCCATCTTATCAGCGTTTCTTGCCAGAGTTAAACTAATGAAGCAAAATATTGGACGGGGCGAATTTTCTCAGTTCCCCAATTTGTCACAGACAAGCTGCCAGGAAGACGACGTTTCAACTTACGTTCAACATTTAAATGCCCTCTATTCAGATTTTGAATCTAGGTTTGAGGATATTTTGACTATGGTAATACCACCGTGGATAATTAATCCATATGGTGACATAGAAGAAACGAATGTCATAATACAAGAGGAACTGACTGAACTAAGTACAAACGAAGAACTTAAGGTTCAGTTTAAAAACGGATATCAGCAATTCTGGCTGCAAAAAACATACCCGTTACTTATCCCGTATTATGGAATATAGCGAGGAAATTTTTAATTTCCTTTCCATCGTCATACCTAGTGGAAAGGGGGTTCAGCGCTGTTACCAATCTCCTAACGAAAAAAAGAAACAGACTGGACATCATTAGCCGAGGAGATTTAAGATTAACCCTTACAAAATTGACGCCAAATGTTGATAATTTATTATTAAAGCATCAGGTTCATCCTTCTCACTAAAAATATTGACTTATTGCTTATGTTATTTTATTTATAGTTTATTTTATGTTTATTGGTGTCTGACCAATAAATGCCCGCATTGGGAATAAGTGCCCGCATTGATTTTTTTAAAGAACCCCCCTTTATAGAAAATATTTTTTTTAAATTATTCTGAAAATTCAAGGATAGGTACACACTAAAATTCGTTAATTTTTTGCCTATTTTTAGATAACTTAAACGTATAAGAAGCGGAATTTAATCAAACTAACAGTGAAATTATTGTAGAACATACGTTTATGTTATAATTAATAAACGAACTCGCTTATTGTACTATTTTAAGTAAAAAACTTTTTTTTATTATTTTTCACTTTTTTTTATTTTATCCCTCTTATTTTTTTTCAATGCGGGCACTTATTCCCAATGCGGGCACTTATTGGTCAGACACCTGTTTATTTAATGTTACGTATATTTTACATAACAGATACAAAATTTTATTTTGAGTAGTTTTAATTTAAATTCAATTAATAAATGTATAAATTAACATGTGTTTTTACTTTAAGTTTTTAACACTAAACTTCACTACAGTTAGAAATTTACAGGAAATCAATATCAGGTAAGTAGGGGGTCTACCCACACGGAAAAACATGGCAAGGGGTCTACGACACAAAAAAGTTTGGGGAATTCTGGTCGAAATGGACACAGAACAGTATCGATGTACAGGACTACGGTCCCTTATGGCTATCTAAGCTTTGTACGCTGTACGGCATAGAGAGATGTCAAGGAGGGCGCAAAGCGTTTGCATTTTATAAAGAAAAAAAACAAAAAATAAACAAACCACATTAAGAAAAAACATTACCTTGTAATGTTTAATTTAACGCATAAATTAGAAATTAAATATCAAATATTCACTTATTCTGTCAACCGCTGTTGCAAAACCCGGCGTCGTCAATCGCAGTTTATACAAGTTTCAACAAGTCACAACATGAACTCGGCGCGCACCCACTCCGCGCTCCGCTTAACATTCATCAAACAATTGTGTACCTACCAGACGCGGATGAGCATCTGTGACACGTATTCCCAAAACTTGCGAAAAACTTGATGTTTCGGTGTACATGTTTTGTTGAGAAATCTGTTTGACTGTGTCAAATTATTGTGTCTCACTGTTAAAAGGTAAGTTTGTGTATTACAAACTACAGTTGCCATTTTTTTAATTTATTAAATTGTGATTGAGTGGCGACGCGTTCATAGATCGGCCATTGGGACTTTGTTACCACATCACAATAAAACCAACGTGGCGAAATAATTTTGAAGCGACGAACTTTAACTACCTAATATTGATTCCAAATGTATTTAAAATTACTATTATAGGTCAACCTGCCTACAAAATATAAATCTCCCGGTGGCCAATATTTTATTTACGTTATTAAGATAAAATAATGAGCATGTAATTAGTAATAACATGTAGGTATTTTGCTTCTTTATCTATTACTTATTTGTTTTTTTTATAGGTGCAATGGCAGCAAAAGAAAGAAAGTTTTCCGAAAATAAATTTGGATTTACCTTCATAGAAAAAGACGAGTTACAATTGCCTCAGTGTGTGATATGTATGAAAACTTTAAGTAATGATAGTATGCCTTGAAAGGCATTTGAAGCAACAACAACATCCTACTCTGGTTTTGAAGATGAAAGAGTTTTTTTTTCTTCTAAAGCAGAATCACTGAAGCGGATGAGACTGGATAAATCGGGAAGCTATCACACAGGTGTCTCGCAGCATCTCAAAGCTTCATTTGAAAGCTTTTATGATAGCAAAGCAAAATAAACCCCATACTATCCGTGAAGATTAATAAAACCATGTGTCCAAAAGCCACGCAGATAATTTTAGGAGAAGATGGAGAGCAACAAGATTGGGTTCCAAAACATTGCCAGAAATTATGCCAGGCTTTGGACTCGGCTATGAGGATTGTAAACTACATCCAGAGCAGCGCTTTGAACAGTCGGTTATTTACTTTACTTACGAGGATGTCGAATCTGATCACAAAGTTCTTCTGTTCCATACAGAAATACGCTGGCTGGCCAAAGGCAATATGTTGGCTCGCCTTTATGAATTGAAGGAAGAGGTAATTCTTTTTCTTGATTCCAAGAAATACACGATTTCTTGACAATGATTAAAGATGACACATTTAAATGAAGATTGGCTTATTAACTGACATATTTGACTCCTTCAATGAGCTAAACTTGAACTTCAGGGCAGAAACAACACTATACTAAGCAATTATGATTATATTCAGGGGTCCATTCATATCAAAGCTTCAACTTCGGAATCAATAGATGTCTACTGGAAATGTTATATCTTTTTCTCGGCTGTTAGAAGCAACTAAAATAACATACTGGATGCAAATTTAAAAGCTGACATAAAAACTTATTTGCAAGCGCTGGAAGACAAGTTCACTATCGAGACATCAATTCATAGTCACCAAAATGGCACATGACAAGAAATTTATTGGTTGTCGATGTCTCATAATTACCAGAAGAAGTTCAGGAAGAATTTTTAAAATGAAGGCTGATTCCTCCATGAAAGATGACTTCCATCTTTTAAGTTGGAGAAATTTTGGATCAAAAGATTGCCTGTTGATTTGCACTTGCCTCTCTTGCTTTAAGAATTCTAGTTCCTTTTTCTTCAACTTACTTATATTAGGCAGGCTTCTCTGCTCTAGTTTTAATTAAAACTAAACACCGAAATCGTCTTGATGCCGATAGCGACATGATGATAGCTCTGGCAAAACAGAACCTAGAATCAACTAACTGGTACAGAACATGCAATCTCAAGTGTCCCTCATTAGTACCTGCTCTTCTTTTATTCATGTTTTTTGATAAAAGTTTCTTTATTAGAATTAAAATAAAAGTGTTTTGTACCTATATAATGTGCGTTTTTTTTGTGTATTTATTGAAAAAGTAAAGGGGGGGGCATGAAAAATAATTTATAGTCCGGGGAGCCTCAATAAAAAACGGTTGGGAAACCCTGCCATAGTCGAATGGGAAAACGTTTGTCTCGTTTGTCAATGTGCTGTGACTTCTGTCAGAATTTTGGTTTTGGGAAGGATGACTAAATAGTATGGGATGAAGGAAATTCTTAATAATCTATGTCCTAAAATTTTGGCACAACATATAAATTTATCGGATTTTTTTAATGAAGAAATTTACGCTGACTGGTTATCATAAATTTGAAATTTATGATAACTCAATACTTATCTAAGCTGCACTATCAAATTAAGAGGAGTGGCCCATTCTGCTCTACCCGTCGCAAGTTTTTTCGAAATCAAGGTATGGACGCACGACTTTATTACATTTCCTAACATTCCGATAGAATAGAATGAAAGCAGCTTTGTCTTGTACTCGTTCTTATTTTTGATATCCTGAGAAAACATTCATCTTGACAACGGTCAAGACATTGGTCCAGTAGACCTGGAAAGTGTTAGAACAGAATTTAAAGAAAGCATAGTGACACCAATATTTAAATCTGGATGTAAAGACAATATGTTCAATTATAGACCTATTTTAGTTATCAATGTATTTGGGAAGATTTTTGAGAAGTGTTTGAATAACAGACTTTGTTCTTTTCTTGAAAATATGACATAATATCGAACTGTCAATTTGGGTTCCGCAAAAATTGCAAAACAGAGCAATCTCTAGAACTTACAGGACAGGCGCTTGAAAATTTTCAAGATGGAAATAAGATTGTTGCAGTTTTCCTAGATCTTCAAAGCTTTCGATTCAGTATCTCATACAATTTTATTAAAAAACTAGAAAGTGTTGGAGTGCGTAGTGGAGTTCTGAACTTATTTGAGAACTATTTGGCTGATCGATTACAAGTTAAGGTAGGGTCAGACTTAAGCAGCATTCAAAAGATCAAAATAGGTGTGCCTCAGGGGACGGTTTTGGACCAACACTGATCCTCATATACATAAATGAACTACTTCAATGCAATTTCAACTGTAAAATGATATCATATGCAGACGATACTGTTTTAGTTTGCACTGGTCATTCATGGATGACGCAATCCGGAATGCCGAGTTGTCATTAAATAAAGTCAAATGCTGGTTGGATAAAATTTACTTAAACTTAATATCTCTAAAACTAAGTATGTAACGTTTTCTCCAACCAAAGCAGGCATGCCATTACAACACACCGAACATTAATTTTAAATGATGTGAGCTGACACTGTCGAAAGTTATTAGATACTTAGGAATCACTGTTGACAGTAATTTAAATGGCAGAGTCATGCCGAGCTTTTGGCATCGAAATTAAGGAGAATTACTCATAAGTTTTTCATTCTTAGGAATATTTTAAGCAGAAACAGTCTTCTCTCGTTTGTGGGATCTCTAATAACTTACGGATAAGTATATGGGGAGGCGCATACACTAGTACTTTAAAATACTACTAACCACGCAAAATTATATTGTCTAGACTATTTTTCGTATCCCATGTAGGTCAAGTTGAAGATTTGTTTACATTGAAAATGATCTTTTGAATGTTAGAGGCTTATACATTTTTGCTGCTCTGAAATTTGTTCACTCCAGAAACAATGTTCCAACCAGCCGCTTATGAAACAAGAACTAAAATAAATATAAGTTACACTTATAAAAGAGTGAATAAATCTGTTTGCCAAAAATGCATAAAGTTTGATGGTATTAGTTGTATAATAAATTACCCCTAGAATATAAAATCCTCTCGAAGTATAGTTTCAAAAAAAGAATTAAGAAGTTCATCTTAAATAACTTTGACATGCTTGCATCGACTGTAGCTTGACACACACAAGCTTATAGCTTAGGTGTCTATTCTTTTGTAGTAAATTCTTTTGTAGTAAATTGTAGTACTCTTGTTTCTCTGCTTAACCTTTAGGCAAAATTTTTATTGTTTAAACAACATAGTTTGACCTTACTCGAAATATCCCTATATTATCATATTTCAGATATTCATATTTTATGTACTCTATGTTTATACTTCTGAGTGTTTTTAGTATGCTTCTGTACTATTGTTATGCATTTTAGATTTGTTATTCAGACACGTAATTTAGGATTTGTGACGACAAGATTCAGACATTTACCCTTTACGAAAGTATACAGAATTTTCACAATTCATATACCGTTACTTGTTGGTTCTGGATCTGATTCTAGTATCTTTGCTTAGATTTCTGTTGCAATCTTGGTTATTCAGGATAGCAAGAGCATACAAGCTCATGTATTTTTGAAACTTTTTTATTTAAATTGTACTGAAGGTTATTTTTAATTTGTAAGTTATATTGGTTTTTGAATTTGAATAAACTTTGAATAAACTTGAATAAACTAAAAAAAAAGATATGAAGGAAGGGTCATAAGACGTCCCTGAGATTTGCTTATGCGTAAGAAGGTTGGTTGGTAAAAAAACTGAGGCTGTTTTCTTTCAGGTACTGTTACAATTACATTGACATAAATCATGGCCTTGGTAACTGTCATCCCCACAAGTATAAATTATGACTTTTGGTAAAGGCGGGCTATGGATTAGTACTGTACCGGGTGGGGTTTTTTTATTAATGAGTTTTGTTACAAATACATTTTCATTAACAGGAATAATTGTCTCATGAGTAATGCATCGAATTTTCTGACTTATCAGACTATGTTTTTTCTTTTTCACCTTTCGAGGTTACAAACACATGAAAGTATGAAAAACTTGCAGCGGACGTCAGTACATCACCGATAATTGGTGAGCGTCCCTTGAATTCTTGAAACGAAAAAAAAAGCGAGCAGGC